CAGTTTTTTTCCCTCCACTATATGTCCACCATCCAATATGTCGAGATGTGTTTTGTCCTTGTCAATAGCTTGGCCGATGGCGAATTTAGCCTCATCGACAGTATTGTCCTGCAATTAAGATTTCGAAAAAAGGAACTTGTGGTTTCTTTCATTAGAAAGATACGATAAGAAAATATGGTTTATGTTGTTGCAAAAATTACTACATTTTGCCAAACTTTGTTATTCATTTAAATGCATGATATCACACAAAGGGATAATTGTCAGTTTAAACGAGGCTCGTAAGTAGGTGATCATAATATTTTGGAATTCTCGGAACGTTTGGGACATTGAAAATCTTACCCCAGTAAACCTGGCTTGTCCGACAGAAGACGCACTAAGACACTTGAAGGTTCCAACAGAACCTACATAAGAAAAACGAAAATATGTTCCATTTGTTAAAACCGATAATTGTATGTAGAAAAACATAACTATTCAAACTTCCTTGTCAATATTTTAATCATTCTAGAAATAAAATCACAAACTGGATTTTTTATGCTAGCTTAATTGCCTAGCCTGTGGAGTCCATCGTTTACGGATATTAAGAGATCACCAACAGAAGAGAATGATAATATATATATAGATATTTATATATATAAAGATATATTATCAAAGCAATTTGACACTTAGAACTAGGAAATAGATTAAGCAGTGTTTACTAGGACGTGTAAAATTGCAAAAAATATCTAGAACGTAATATCAAATTAATCTACCCCTCTACTGTCTCTCTGTTGTACCTGCATATACAGAACGTAATATTCACTAAATTTACCCTCAACTGTTAGTCTATTGTCCCTGCCTATCCAGAAATATTAAATAAATTTACCCTCTGTTTGTTTGTTCTCTTTTCTGTCAATCTGTACGGGTGAACTGTCCACGTTCGACATCAAGCGCGAGCGTTTGGCCTTAATGCCCACTCCTTCTTTAATGCTGTCCCCAGTTTTGACCCTGGAAGTACAAGATCTCGTCTGTATGGTACGTTTGACACCGGAAGTACAAGATCTCGTTTGTATGGTACGTTTGACCCCGGAAGTACAAGATCTCGTCTGTATGGTACGTTTGACCCCGGAAGAACAAGATCTCGTTTGTATGGTACGTTTGACCCCGGAAGTACAAGATCTCGTCTGTATGGTACGTTTGACCCCGGAAGTACAAGATCTCGTTTGTATGGTACATTTGACCCCGGAAGTACAAGATCTCGTTTCTATGGTATGTTTGACCCCGGAAGTACAAGATCTCGTCTGTATGGTATGTTTGACCCCGGAAGTACAAGATCTCGTCTGTATGGTACGTTTGATACCTGATATCTTGTTTGAAGTTTTTTGTTTTGTTATTTGAACTTTCTGATGGTCATCCCTCGATAAGGTTGTTACTTGTATTTTTCCTGTGATTGCGTCTCCTTTGTCAGAATTTGATGGTTTGTGCTGGTGGTCGTGTTTGTGAAAGGTCCCGGAAGCATCTGGTTCTAGAGTTTCAGTGGATGAATGCACTGTTGTTGCTGGTCTCATTCTCTTCTCGTGGTTGATGTCTGAAATGGTCATTGATGCACTGTCGTCACTTACAAGGTTCGAACTCTGGTCCTTGTCGCTGTTATCCTGTAAGCATTCACCAGTCATCGTCTTCTCTTCCATTGATGGCTTAAACTCTGTCACAGTTTCATTGTCCGTTTTAGCTGAACCCTGTTCTGTGGCCGATACACGCAGCATGTTATCGATCTCCTGCCAACATTTAGAAACGACGTGGATGTCTTTTAACGGTGATTGTTTCAGCTCTTCTAGAATATCGTCTTGTATTTCAACACCAATTTTCAAAATGGCCTCCGGGGACCCAAATATCTGTAGTTGTGTAATGTTTTTAACAAGATGGTCACACATCTTGGCCCTCTCTTGAGACCGTGTTATTTGAACTTTGCATGGTTCTACGCTGATGATGTTAGAAATTGAAGCATTGTCAATTATATGTTGATAAATGTCTTGAACAGTTTCGTGCTCTTTCAGTTTTTTCTTTAGCGAATGACTTTGATCCAGCAGTTTATTTAGATAACTCTGAAATTTCTTCTTGATGTCAGTTGAAGTGTGATGAGGGTGTTTATCTAACCTACAGAAGTTACACAAGCACTCCTGACATTCCTCGCAGAAGGTGACCAAGTCATTTTTATGGACTGGACACATTTTGTGTTTATTTATATGTATTATACGTAATAACTCTCTTGAGATGTGTTTGTAAGGACAAGCCTCGTGTTCACGTTCGGTCTGCTCGCCTTCAATGGTGCCTTGACACGTGCGTTTCCTGCAGCTTTCACAAAGACATGACTGGCAGTAGATGCAGATGTACGGAACCCGCTCTTGCTCTTTGCATGATTCACAAGTGCTTCGAGCCGTTTGACTGGTCTTTAATATTTCTTCTAATGGACGAGACACGTCCTTTAATTCCGGCGGATTTCCAGATGGTGAATGACACAAAGGGCATTCGGCCTCCTTTTGAGTTGGAGACTGAAAGTACTTATGAATGCAGATGTGACAAAATACACACCGGCAGTTTAACTCTTTTGGATTCTTAAATCTTTGAAAACAGATTGAACAATCTAAAATCCCTCCTTTGTCCTCCACGTGCGGCTGTAATTGAGGAGTGTCCATTTTGGTAGCTATTCTACAATAAAATCAAAAGATATTTGATTTGGTTTTCATCTCGTCAAACTTCAAAGGGGAAGCTCAAGAACGAAAGAATAAAAATTGAACAGCTAGTCCTAAACAGAATCCAAAAAATATTTGTCAGTGACAAAGCTAACTCTAATAACGTCGCATTTTTAACGGAGTTACATTTTTCCTAATTAAATATAAACAGGATTTATTTTACAACAATTTCGAAACCATCTTATGTTAATCAGTCTTGTTGGCCCGGATGGAAGCGGGTGAGGGGTCTTACGGTGGCAAGAAACCGGAGTTCCAGGGGAAAACCCACATGGTCGAGCAGGTGACCACATACCTTTTCACGTCCATTCCGGGAATCGAATCTCGGACGGTTAGGTGAAAGGCGAGTGCTTTACCACTGCGCCACCCGAATTCGAGAAGCATTTTACTTCGATTCCACCAGGAATAAAATTGAAAAGTATCGAAACGTATTTTAATTCATTATTTAAATGTCACCATATCATTTTATATATTTATCTTTCATGTAATAGTTATAAATCGTTTCCAAATTAAGTTAAATTTTAAACGTGGGTGAATTACTTATTCATTGAATGTCTTACTCTCTTGGCAAACGTTCCCATTTTCATTCTCGCTGACTCGAAAATCCTAGTGTGGTTCGGTGTTCGTCTGACGTCACAATAACCACGAGATCTAGAATTATGATACTGTCTCGATACTTCTTTTCATGTTTAGTTTGTGAAAAAAGGGCCTTGACCTATATTCATGGTCGAAGATGTAAAAATTGTTTAAAAATTCAAACGACATATTCTAAGTAACCAAAAGGTTTCACTTGAGAAGTTTTAAAATGTTTTTTTGAAGACGGCTACTCGATAAGAAATACATTATTCATATAAACATCCAATGTATCATGAAAGTTCTCATAACGATATTGTTGTGGCAATGAGAGGCCAGGGGTTGGTTTGAATTATGAATACTATCTATGTTTTACAAAAATCAATCGGTGTCAACCATCCAACCACTCTAGTTATATCACCCATACCGACAGTAATTACCAGTCACTTCATAACATTCGATATGAGATTTTTTCCAGGACGACGTGTGGTCTACTTTCGCTTTGACGAGCCGTCAAGGAAAAACCATGATACCGTGTTACGTCATATCACAGATAAAAAATGTCGATACAGATGATGTAAGAATATCATCTTAATACCAATAAAGGGATAGTTTACCTAAGTTCTCACTACTTTGAAAGTTGCATTCTATTTTCATCATTTACGCTTTGAAACGAAACGTGCTTACCGCGAGAGCTTAAGGAACGAAACAAAAGAATGACATGAAAGTGTGTCAGTGCATTCATACGCTGTAGTACCGTTGCTACGATTTACGAAATCTATAATTATGTTAATAAAGAGACAGTGAGATGAGTCAACAATGAGTTGTGATTTTAGTAAATTAACTGCTCAATGACGTCATCAAGAAGTTTAAAGACATTTTCACTTTGTATTGGCATTTAACTTTGTTACATTTTTAATACTGTGTTGCTTTTTTAATACTGTGTTACATTTTAAATACTTCGTTACATTTTTAATACTGTGTTGCTTTTTTAATACTGTGTTACATTTTAAATACTTCGTTACATTTTTAATACTGTGTTAGGTTTTCAATATTTTGTCACATTTTTAATATTGTGTTGCTTTTTTAATACTTTGTTACATTTTTAATACTGTGTTAGGTTTTCAATACTTTTTCACATTTTTAATATTGTGTTGCTTTTTTAATACTTTGTTACATTTTTAATACTGTGTTCCATTTATCATGTCTTTCGAACCTAATTCTAAATTACTTTCCTGACATTTTAGCACATTCGTAGGTAAAAAGTAAACTCTTGATCAATGCTCAATAGATATAAATTACGATACTATGGGGAGGAAACTGTTTCATTAAAGGTGGACAATATACTTTTACAAATATTTAGAGCGATTCATCTCTCGATGAGGACAAGTTATAATGTACTTCACGGCAAGGCAATAAGCAAACTCAAGGTTATGGATATTTGCTTGTCATTTATTTATTTTTTTTTTTACTATTTATTTTTAATTTTTAAAATCAATTATTTACAAAGACAACAACGACAACCAACAAAAAGAAAAGTCTCTCATACATATTTATGTTTGTCAGTAACTAAAATGATTGGATGACTTTATAGCTTACACATACAAAACCCATGTTTCTGTTGAAATAAAGTCATTTCTTTCTAATCTATCTGTAAATAAACAGACGCTGGTGGGAATGAACATAAACAAGGTGTGATACAAGGTTAAACATTTGTAAGGGACATATTTTAGTCATCGCTGGTTACGGGTTACAGAACGAAAGTGGCACACTTACATCGAGGCTGGAGTACACAAGGCACGTATCTGATTTAATCCTTAAAGAGGATCCTGAATGATGATAGGTTCGATTTTCAATGGATTTGTTGTTGTATAAGAACAAAAATGCTGAAAACCGCATCGAAATTCGACAATCCGTTTTCCCATTTACACCTGCTTCGAGATCTTAATCAAGCAAGCGAACAAACTACCCTGATTTACATCCGGGTATTGATGACGTCTCTAGTGGAAGCGCATTTTGTCCTGTCACCTGTAACCCGTTTTGTCGGAGGTCTATGTATATCACTAATTGACAGAAAAATCCACGAACGCTCACAAATATTTGAAACCTAAGTAGGCCCAAAAAACGAAACGATATAACCTGGCTTCTGCTAGAAAACTAATGGTTGCCGGAGTGGGACAGAACGCGCGCTCACACCAGTGACGTCACTACTGAAGAACTCTGTTACAGTGCCGTTCGATGATCTCGTTCAGGTGTGTTTTTAGCGTTTTCGACAATAACTTTGGAACGCGTGGATCGTTTTCGACGATTTTTGCGGTAATTGAACGAGCAAAGGCTATTTGATTTAATGACACATATGTGACAAAGCATTCAGGTTCCTCTTTAAATATACATGCAAGTTCAAAACTTAATAAAACAAAGTTATACAAAACACTATTTAAATGTTTTGTTTTAAAATCCATTTTTGTTGAGGTCGGATAGCCGTGCACACGTAAGCATCATGCACTATGGGGTACGGATTAGTGCACCATGGCTAGATATGGGAAAATTTTAATTTGAATATCAACCATCCATATATGGAAGTGATCTAGTATAGCGCCATTACTTGGTTACGTGTTGCTACTTTTAACATTTCATCTGCGTTATAAATAACTGGAAATTAATATATATATATATATATATATATATATATTATTTGGTTATCCCGTATTTGTCAATAGAAAACGAAAGTGAAACTAACATACGGTCATACATTTTATGTTTGTGTAATATCCTATGTACCTGATAAGGATTCGTGGCGATGACTTAAAAAACCTCTGTTCATGTAGGACTGTAGATAGTAAGTTCTCTTCCTTCTTCTATAGTTACAAGACAGAAGACTAGAATGTATGGTGGAGATAGTTGTATATGTATTCTACTCTAAGTTAAAATAGTTTTAGTATTTTATACATGTAACCGTGGGTGGATAGACTACCAAAACCCCTTCTTTGGTAGGAAAATGATTTAATTGTCTGAAGAAGACCTAAAATTAAAAATACAATTATAAATACACATTCACTCACACACCTTGCACACTGCGGTAAATTATGAGGAATGTATTTATAGTTTGAAGATTAAAATATATTAATGTGACTTATATTAATTAAGCTTACCAGCTTTGGTGCTCTCGCTTCAGATTTGACAGGTTAGCCTACGTGTTGACTGTCTGAGTGATGCTGTGCGAGTTTGGTGGCTCTTGGTGGGAGTTGGCGGTGACTGGACAGAGGACGTGAAGTCCGTGCTCGACGTGCACATACATACATTCTTTCATACTTGCTTTACGCGCGATGATTTTAAAATGATGTATTCTATCACCTGGCTACATACACTGATGTTAAAAATAAATCACAAATGACGTGTATTACATAAATACATTGTATATTGATCAAGTGATAAATTTCTGCGAATAACTATTTCACTGGAATGGAATTTGACGGTAGGCTGATTAATTTTGTCTGTACCTTCCTGTTTTTGCAAAATCTTTGAAACTGACCCTGTGGAATTTGAATGTTTAGAAATCGAATTATGAACTGGGAGTTTCTTTAGATATATGTGAACACGGTGTAGTGTAGTAGTATCGCTATCAGTAATTCCGGATATAATAGATCGGATTCCGGTACTTCGGTCAATGCCTGTAGTGTGATTCAAAGTTCATGTAACACACCTCCTGTAGCACCACTTTTTTCGTGGAGCTGGCCAACACGAGTGTGGCAAAGGTTAACATTGACTTCGCGGAGAAGGACAAACAACATTTTTTGTTGTTATAGATAGCCATTCGAAGTGGTTGGAAGTGTTTCACACGACGTCCACAACCTCAAATTGGACAATTGAGGTCTTGCGGTGGTTATTCGCGTCATATGGTCTCCCCGAGGAGATTGTATCAGATAATGGACCCCAGTTCATTTCTAGTGAATTTGAACAGTTCATGGTTAAGACCGGAGTGAAACATACTCTTGTACCTCCGTACCATTCCGCATCACATGGTGCAGCGGAGCGGTCTGTGCTAATCCTTAAGTGGGCACTCCTGAAACAGGTTTTAAACAGTGATGGACAGTATTCCATGCAGCATCGCCTTAGTAACTTTTTGTTGAAGTACCGGTCAACACCTCACTCTGTAACAGGTGTGTCTCCCGCGGAATTGTTTTTGAAGAGACAACTCCGAAACAAATTTTCGCTCTTACAACCTAATTTGGAGGGGAGAGTTAGTCGTAGGCAAATGATTCAAAAGAAACATCATGACAAAGGGCGAGTGAAAGTTAGATCATTTGTGGTGAACCAGACAGTTCGTGTCAGGAATTTTCGCGGAGGACTGGAGAAATGGGTTCCAGGGAAGATTGTAAAACAGTTGGGTCCCTTGACCTACTTAGTGCGCGTCGGACCAAATATTCGGTATGCACATGTCGATCATGTCGTGTCATCGGGAGAGGAAATACTCAATGATGGACCAACAAAAATGGAGACTGAAAGTGTAGTTGACACAAGTTTACCTACAAGTTAACCGATTACGCCAAGTGCTATTTTGACATCAGTACCAGAGATACAACAGACACCGCAGAAATTGTCATTGACTTCATCAGACACATCTCCAACACCTATTGTGTCCAAACCTCTTCAGGTATCTCCAGCAACCATTAGAAAAGTTAGAAAGCAATGTACAGTGAACAGTTCATGGTGTTGTCCTTGTCTGGGAGGGACCATATTAACTATATTATCTTCATAAACGTCAGATTACAATTGTGCTGTTAGCTCTCTCTCTCTCTCTCTCTCTCTCTCTCTCTCTCTCTCTCTCTCTCTCTCTCTCTCTCTCTCTCTCTCTCTCTCTCGTTCTTCTTCTTCTTCTTCTTCTTCTTCTTCTTCTTCTTCTTCTTCTCTGATACATTTGTCACTTAAACATGCCACCTTGTATATTTGTTTGTACAATAGTTTTCAGGAAAGGGCTTAATATAAGTTGGGCAACTTGTGCCCAATCCCAATGTATATATTGATACAATAAAATATGTTGAAATCAAAATCCAGCAACCATGTTGTCACCTACCGATAAGACAGACATTCCAAGGAACTCACCGTGCGCTCCTGATGCCTCAGTTTCCATTCCATTGAGACGCAATCCTCCAAGGCATCGTCAACCTCCAGTTCGCATTGATTTGTGGATTGTTCTTGATTGACTTGGTTAAAATGTTCAGTAACATTTAATAAGTGTTCTTTTCAGTTAGTAATTCTATACCAAAGACTGGTTAAAGATAATTTGAAGTTTCAAAGATCTTATTTTGATTGTGTACATGGACAAGACAATTTAAAGGGAAGGAGTGTAGTGTAGTAGTATCACTATCAGTAATTCCGGATATAATAGATCCGATTCCGGTTCTTAGGAAGATCCCAAGATCCATTCATACTCCTCGACCATTACCCTGTACTTACATGTAGAGTATTGAGATGGTCCGAATAAAAAGTAGTCCATGCTTGTTGATGCCATTTGTATGAGTTGTGTCGTCTGTCCGTAAACTAATTAAGAAGCTAGGCTGAGATGTTACAAACAGCCAGGAGCTTGGCATGATGTGACTTCTCTCTGACACTATTGCTGTATATCAATGTAACATAGCTGTAACATCAATACCTTCATGAAAAAATGTCGACGATGAAACCAACAGGCTGTTTTTTTATCTTCTGATAAATGCTGAACTTGCTGTACACGAGGAAACACTACGAAACACACACTCTCACCTACCCATCCTCCACCCCCCCCCCCCCCTCTCTCTCTCTCTCTCTCTCCCCCTCTCCCTCTCTCTCTCTCTCTCTCTCTCTCTCTCTCTCTCTCTCTCTCTCTCTCTCTCTCTCTCTCTCTCTCTCTCTCTCTCTCTCTCTCTCTTACAGCGCAATCTTCCCACAGAAACGAGATATAATGTCCTTATACAGCTAGAGAAAGAGATGAAAATATGAAATTGCTCCAAATGTCAATCCGATTCTTGTTGTTGAGCTAATACCTGATGTTCTAGTAAATATATTACTACATGGATATGAAACTTTAGACTGTCAATCAAACAAAGTTATATTTGATCAAGTTTTCGATTTCATAATCAATTCAAACCGATTCTAATCATCTCTCTCTCTCTCTCTCTCTCTCTCTCTCTCTCTCTCTCTCTCTCTCTCTCTCTCTCTCTCTCTCTCTCTCTCTCTCTCTCTCTACAACTTAGAAATATATTTCATCAGATTTATTCTACATCTTCTTAATTTTACTATGACTTTTGAACTTTGCAGCTTTAACAAATATGTTTAGAGTCAGTGGATTTTAAACTTGCATGTCTCTGACTTAGCTGTTGATACAATATATGTGTACTGTACCCTATGTTTATTATTGTAACAGTAATTCAATCACGTGTATTGTACAGATGGACCTAGAGATTTGTGTACGTGTTGATATAATCTATACTGTGTAATAACAGTTCATATCAAATAGATATTTTATTGTATTGTTTCTAATTCTTAAACTTATTTAATGAATAAAAGTGTCATTAATGAATTAATTTCATGTTGACCTAGTTATTGAACCAATATGAAATAAGGCAATTAATGATACTATGGTATTAGTCATACTGAAATATAGTCATTGTCATTGTAGTAAGTTGAAATCGAAAATGAAAACGTTACATTTCTAAGTACTAGTAGCCGTCCTTTCAGAAAAAAAAACAACTTTCATTTACCAACTAGTATTGCACAACCAATAGATGTAATATAACTGTGGTTGTTTCGGTTTTGTTTCAGACGAGATATCAGGTATTGAGCAAGTAACATCATACATAAGTTAGAATTTGTAACGACAGTATATCAGGAGTAACGCCGCGTATCCAGCACGTGAAAGCACGTAAGTATGATATTGTACTGAGTTTTGGTGTATCTATCAGAAGGTAGATACCAGTACTTAATACATATATTCTTGTTATTTCTACATAAATAGATTTATTTTGGTGTTTATTCTCTGCGGCCCAGCGGACTCCTGTTGACACTAAAGTGCACTGATCTTTAATATGCTACCACATCATACCGTTGGTCCAGGTGAAAATATTTACATATTGTGTTGTAGACTCAACTTTTGATTACACTTCTGTAAACTTAAATAGGACAGTATAGTGAACCAATCTGTTTTGATAGGTGACTGACCTGTAAGTTTTAAAACCCGTGTACAGACGTCTGTCAGTGTGACTGTTATAATCAGGGATATTTTTGTACTAGCCATCTTTAGAAAAAAAGTTACTTTTAACGACACAACACCGCCTGAGAAATTTATAATCAAACGGAGGTATTTGTTTTTAAAAACGGTATCGGAGACGTATGACACACGATAAATTTATATCATGATCATAAGTTATGTGATTACATACATGTCTATGTAGATGTGAAAGAGAAAGTAAACCCCGAATGGACTGAAAAGTTGTTTTTTTTCCCGTAACATTTACAACCTGTCAACTTGATAGAAAAGTACTTTTGGAATGATCTTGGTCAATATAATGTTGTTATATCGAACGTGATCTTGGTAAATATAATGTTGTTATATCGAACGTGATCTTGGTCAATATAATGTTGTTATATCGAACGTGTCTACAATGATAATTTCTCCGTGACTGTACTCATTTTGCGTTCTTAGAACCGAAACTGAAAGTAGAAGCATTGTCGACAATGTAAATGACGTCACCGTCTAGTGGTGTGGGCAGACGATACAGATGTAAATTTCAGTCCGTGCTGCACGTCTGACGATGTCAACAATAGATTTGACCTTATTGTATGTTGTCAAGGTCAAACGTATGTCTCTTATCAATTGACTGCCTTCCCTATGTGCACTTGACTATAAATACCAACAGGGAATTCTAATTTCTTTTTCGGTTTCAAAAGGAAAATCCAATAACTGACGATTAGATCAGAGAAGTCAGGAGCAGAGTTGAGGATTAAATAAACAGACAGACACTAATTTCTACAAGATGCCTATTCAAATCATGGTAAGCGCTGGAACAGACGGGAAGACACAATTAGTGGATGTGGAGCCGGTAAGTTCCGTTTTGTTTATTAGTAATGTCTTGTTTATAAGTTCCCAAAGATTTGCTATTCCATGACTTATCGGGCTGTTCCGTCAGTACACATAACGAACATCAAAAGTAAAAAAAAAACTGTCCAAAAGTATATATAAACTTTGTTTTCTTTCTTGATTACTGGCGTGTAAACGCGTAACATTTGAAATATCTTTTATTTTTCAAAATTCTATTTATGCAACAAAACAAGTAAAATTATTTCTCAGATCATTATAGTTTGTTTAATGAAATATTTAGAATTGTGACAAAATACACCCTTAGTATCACTGCCGAATTCTAGAAGGACGACACAGCTGTATAATACAGTTTAATTCATTGTCTAGCTCCACTGTAGGTAACATAAATTTGTAATTAAATGGTGATAGTTAACTATGTCTCCTTTGTACAACTTTTGATATGAGCGGATCCTGTTTAATTAATTTTTTCTTTCTTTTGTAGGGTGAAAATCTGTCATTGCTGTTCCAGAAGATCTCGGACCGACGTGGGGTAGAAAAACAGTATTTACAGATAGTGTACGCAGGGAAAACGTATCGCCCTGGCGACGCAAAAACCGACTATAAAACTCTTGCCGACCTGGGCATGAAGGATCGGTCCCTCGTACAACTTGTTACCAGGCTACCAGGAGGTCAATAGGTCAGCCTACGCCACCGGTGATCCAGGATTTTTTTTCAAACTTGTGACTTAGACATATGACGTCATCAGTACAACATCATAAAGTATATTGTCCTGGGGGGTGGGTGGGGGATTAGGGGTGTACTCGTGCGCACCGAGACCTTTCTTATGTATATCTGGTAGCTAAAAGCTGGAATGATACAAAATGGTGTGGTAATGTCAACTCTAACAGAATTGATGCAACAGGACTGAACTTATTAGTGCACGGTTCCTGTCGAGGACTTTTGTTTGTTTATTTCTAAGTATAAATGCGTCTCCTTGTTACAGTTTGAAATGGAAGAAAAAGAATCAACTTTGTGGTCATTTGATCTCTTGTTATTAAATGTGAGTGAGAGTTGAGGATATTACACTCAGTGCTTTTACTAATGTACTGCATTTCGTTTATTCGCCACGCAGAGTTATCTGCTCTTGTGAGCGGGTATTGATTGTTACGTCATCTGTTTGTGTGAGTAACGTCAATAGAAAACGACGTCATTTGTCACTCAAACTTATGACAGCAATCAATACCTGCATATCTCTCTGCATTAAGTCGGAAATGCAAAAGTCGGAAAGTGTTTGACCAAATGAAAGATATATTCATTAATGAACTCGATATATCGATCTGGTTTAACAAAAAACAAAAAAAAATAATAATAATAATAATAAATGCGGAATAGATGTTGGAAATAAGGCAGAGTAAAATGTTTTATTTCAATCATGTTGATGCCTAGATCAACTGTTTACTGCATAGTAACTAGTATAGTATTGTGAATGGTTATGTAAGTTGGTGTCAGAGAAACAGGTTATTAAACTCTTGCTGTACATAGTGTATAAGAATTACTATGGCAGTAGACTTACTATGGTAGTTTTTCTATGATAGGTGCTTTGTAAACCAGGAAATTTGATATGTGAATATGGACATCTATGATAACAAGGATGTAGACCATAAACATCTCTAGAAATATAACTTTTGGTTGAAGGATGTCTCGACCTTGCGGCCATTTGAAAGGGTTCTATCAGTCGTATGATTCACGTGTCACTCTCTTTGTTGAACTAGCATGTTACCATAGTAATGAGACTGTTGAAGACTGTGCTGGATGTTCTAAGATAAGTGATTTTGAATAAATGTATTTATTTCCATTCTTGACGTGGTTCATTTCTATATTTACGAACAAAAATATTAACAGCTGATAATTAACATCTCCTTTTCGTTCAAATTTATTTACAAAATATTCGTTAAACAACAAAATCGTACAAAAATAGATATCATGGAACCGTCTTATTAAGTCATTAGTTGTTGTGATGACGTCACTAGTGCGATATTTCTCTTATATTTCACTGACAAAATGAGCCTTCTCATCAATATTGGTCAATCTTAGTAAGTAAAGTGACGTTCTCATGGCTAGCAGTCAGTGTTTCCTAATATACAATATTCTATAGTCAGTGGTCAGTGTTTCCTAATATACAATATTTTATAGTCAGCAGTCAGTGTTCCTTATACACAATATTTTATAGTTAATAGTCAGTGTTCCTAATATACAATATTCTATAGTCAGTAGACAGTGTTCCTAATATACAATATCTTATAGTCAGTAGACAGTGTTCCTAATATACAATATTCTATAGTCAGTAGACAGTGTTCCTAATATACAATATTCTATAGTCAGTAGTCAGTGTTCCTTATACACAATATTTTTTAGTTAATAGTCAGTGTTCCTTATACACAATATTTTATAGTTAATAGTCAGTGTTCCTTATACACAATATTTATAGTCAGTAGACAGTGTTCCTAATACACAATATCTTATAGTTAATAGTCAGTGTTCCTAATATACAATACTTTATAGTCAGTAATCAGCGTACATTCAAACCCTATTATTGTTAGATTGTTTTGTTTTCAAAAGATCAATAATATGATGTACTGGATAATTATCTGGTGTACATGTCACATTTGTACATATACTGTCATATGTATTTGCTTTTCTGGTTCAGTATATCACGGTCTAATATCTATATCTGTACTTAACTATGTCATACGTCATCAAAATACCTAGCTGACACCGTATTTAAACATGATTTAATCTGTAAATTAGAAAAAGAGAATTCCTGGTATTCTATAAATAACTTCACGTCACTTAACACATGTACCCGATTACGTGATAATTAGGGTATGAACTAATAGGAAAGTGAAAGTAACGACGGTCAGGTACAGGATTTCTGGGCCTTTCTTAGGATATATGTATGTGATTTAAACAATGAAGAACAGTGGCTTTGTTTTTAAAAAATGTTTATAAATCTTTTTATTGACGACTAAGAAGTAACTGCTACATTACAGTTGTTTCTTTTATTTAAATTATAGTTTGTCAGATTTAGACGTCAATTTGGCTTCATTCAAACTAAATTAAAACGCAATAGGTAACTATTTAATGTATCACTTATTTATTAACTGTAAAATGATGAAAAGTGCTCGCCCCTCCCTCCATCTTATCGATACACGACTCCCCTACCCAGGATATACACAAAATATCTCAGGCTATGTGAAGATGTAGATTATTTCACAAATAGAATATCCTTCTCTGCTTTTCCATGCGTTTTAATTAATAGATTTTCAAATGATATATTTTTTATTCTTTTGTGTTACTGTTTACAAGATCATATCACATCACAAAGCGAGAAATTACGTGGTAGAGTGTAATTGTTCTCTGTATGTGAAATGTTTACTTTATAACTTTGTGACAATTCGCTATATTTTCCGAACCCTTTCGACTGGAAATTAATTCTATCGATGTTTCATTGATTCTTTCTCAACTTCGAACGAAGAGACGAGGGTAGTTTATTGACAGCTTCTGTGTACGCAATTTCAATTTGACAACAGTGTCTTACAAAATAAATAATAGAACAGGTTCGATACCATATAACGAGCAATGAAGACAATAGTTATGATGATTAACTTAATCACAAAATGAACAGCTGATTTGATTTTTATTCGTTTATTTCAATATTTCAAATAACCCTGATATAAAACAATGCCCCGTCCAACCCCCTCCCCATCGGAAAAAGACCAAACATTTATCACTAATCAATTATTGTTAAACAAATAAGCGTCCCACTAATGTGTGACGTTAACTGACGAGAAAAGTAAACATTTTGAACAGAGTTCACACAAAAATGATAGGTCAGTTGCTGTTTTCTGTAGGCACGTAGGTAACTTCTTAAAGTAAAATCAAAATTCTAATTTTCAGCTCGATTACGTGGGATGTGTTTATTTTCTAAAGATATTTTATTAAAGAGGTCAAGAAATCGAAAGTCAAAGCTGAAAATCACATTTTTCTTAGAATTTTACGTTTATTGTTGAAGGTGTTCTTCCTAGACCAGTCAGATTAACGAAATGAGATACGACATTCATGTTGACAAATGTGACATGAAACAGCAACAAGCTTATGTCATACACACAGAGTGGAAATTTTCGCGCAAGCTATTTATAGATATGGTATGATTACTCCGAATGTCTGCTTACTAACAACTTTCGGTTTACATAAAGTTAACATAATTTAACTGCCTCGTGACATTTCAACATGGCCGGACAATTTAAGAGACTGAGTGAATCAACACTCCAACGTGCAAGCTTTATAGGGGTGAGTGAAAAGTCCCATACAGTTTTAATTGTGACAAGAGGAAGTATTGATTGTTAAAGTAAATTTTTAATAACTGTTGTTAATTTATATATACGATAAAGTACACTGTGTAATATATTTACCGTTGCCTAAGATGTTAGGCCAAATAACTGCTATATTTGAGATCTTCACTGGGACAGTTAAATCAGTACTCAGTATTTCATATCATTTGTAAGCATACATTAAGACGTACACTATATGTTTACGTTTGTATATAACATTAGATACTCAATATATCTATTACATTAAAAATACACGTGTTAACTACTGTTGTCATGAAAATACGAAGCCGAAGTCTAAGCAACATGACGTGGTTAAACCGCAGGATAATGGTGAAACTAGCCCGTTTCATGTTTCAGAAGATTAAGTATTGTCTTAGCTTGATATGGTCCTGTGTCCACATGGTGTTACGTTTTAGCAAACAGTAGACTATTTATGGTTCAACTGTAAATTTTAAAGTAAACTTTTTTATATTATTTTAGTAGATCTATACAGAAGTTGTCACTTTATTGTACCAGGTCACCATTTAGTGCTGTATCACCATTTATCGTATTGTTGGTTCAGGGAACTACTTTCACTTTCGATTTCCCTTTTTAGTTATGTTTAGGCTCTCTGTTAGTTACTTAAGTAAAGGGCTTATGCTTTATTTTCAAGACTAGCCGGTGACATCAACAGGAAATTTCACCTTGACAAAAGTAATGTCAATTTTTGGACGCTCGAAACACCAGACACTTTATCAAAGAGATATCATTATCACGTGATATATTGTTACAAAAATCATTTGTAAAGAATCGAATTTGAATCAAAGTACTGAAGAAATGTTTATCCGGTAGAATTATAACCAATATCAAAATAAGCAATAAGGAAAACAGCACTTGTATATCACACAAATGTCTTTGCAATTTATTTATAGTAACACTCCTGATTAATCAAATATTGATCTTATTATGTTTAGAAAAGAATAAGAAACAATCTGGTATAGCCGCTGACGAGATAACTACACCAATTTCTGGGATTCTGATGCACTGTCCGAGTGTTTCTGGGACCTCTTCCGTTCTCTAGTGGGTCCGATCAATTGTTCAAACATTGAACCCCTTAACTAAATCATTCTCTAGACAGAATTGGGTCAAAATTACATGATCGGGTTTTAAGAAAGGTGTGCAACAATGACCTGTTTTGTATTCGTCCTTTCTGTCACCCTAAACATTGATAAGATGTCACGTGTGCAAATTTGCATTCTTGACCAGTAGCATTTTGACTTCGTCTTATTGAATGTACAGTGAAACCTGTCTAATTCGTCACCATGGGGGAGTGACATTTTTGGTTGGATTAGACAGGCTGTTGACTTCACTTTGTTTACAAAAATATATGCTACCGCCGGTAGATACGTTAAGAATACAACTAATGTACATACAAATACACTCTGGTGTTAAAAATAAAACAAAACAATGAAGTATTAATTTACTGGCGTTTTAATTTTGTTTTAATCATTTTAATACAATGTACAGGTACATTAATTCCCCGTGTTTTGATGAATTTGTGAATCTGAACTCACAGTTATCTTGAAATTGTTGTTTTTGTTTCAGAGCAACACTGTTACGGAAGCTAAGTCTATTGTAGCCAAAGTACTCCGACAAAACATATATGACATCGAAATTGTTGAAAATGGAGGAATTATAGACGGAAGTTTATTTGTAAAGGACGTACAGAATCCTCTTCAGGTGGTCATCCACAATACCGACAGACAAGTTCCTCTCTGGCTCCAAACCACAAAGAAAGATATGGTAAATCCTTGGGAGGAGGAGCCACGATGTATCATGTCATGCAATCATGCAATAAGTAAGTACGATAGCAGATCCTTATTCTCCCTCCGTCACTCCCCGCCTGTACAATAACAGATCCTTATTCTCCCTCCGTCACTCCCCGCCTGTACAATAACAGATCCTTATTCTCCCTCCGTCACTCCCCGCCTGCACAATAACAGATCCTTATTCTCCCTCCGTCACTTCCCGCCTGTACAATAACAGATATAGATCCTTATTCTCCCTCCGTCACTCCCCGCCTGCACAATAACAGATACAGATCCTTATTCTCCCTCCGTCACTCCCCGTCTGTACAATAACAGATCCTTATTCTCCCTCCGTCACTCCCCGCCTGTACAATAACAGATCCTTATTCTCCCTCCGTCACTCCCCGCCTGTACAATAACAGATCCTTATTCTCCCTCCGTCACTCCCCGCCTGCACAATAACAGATCATTATTCTCCCTCCGTCACTTCCCGCCTGTACAATAACAGATATAGATCCTTATTCTCCCTCCGTCACTCCCCGCCTGTACAATAACAGATACAGATCCTTATTCTCCCTCCGTCACTCCCCGTCTGTACAATAACAGATCCTTATTCTCCCTCCGTCACTCCCCGCCTGTACAATAACAGATCCTTATTCTCCCTCCGTCACTCCCCGCCTGCACAATAACAGATACAGATCCTTATTCTCCCTCCGTCACTCCCCGTCTGTACAATACCAGATCCTTATTCTCCCTCCGTCACTCCCCGCCTGTACAATAACAGATCCTTATTCTCCCTCCGTCACTCCCCGCCTGTACAATAACAGATCCTTATTCTCCCTCCGTCACTCCCCGCCTGTACAATAACAGATCCTTATTCTCCCTCCGTCACCCCGCCTGCACAATAACAGATCCTTATTCTCCCTCCGTCACTTCCCGCCTGTACAATAACAGATATAGATCCTTATTCTCCCTCCGTCACTCCCCGCCTGCACTAACACACACAGATCCGTCACTCCCCGTACAATAACAGATATAACAGATCCTTATTCTCCCTCCGTCACTCCCCGCCTGTACAATAACAGATCCTTATTCCCTCCGTCACTCCCCGCCTGCACAATAACAGTCACTCCCCCGTCACTTCCCGCCTGTACAATAACAGATATAGATCCTTATTCTCCCTCCGTCACTCCCCGCCTGTACAATAACAGATACAGATCCTTATTCTCCCTCCGTCACTCCCCGTCTGTACAATAACAGATCCTTATTCTCCCTCCGTCACTCCCCGCCTGTACAATAACAGATCCTTATTCTCCCTCCGTCACTCCCCGCCTGCACAATAACAGATCCTTATTCTCCCTCCGTCACTTCCCGCCTGTACAATAACAGATATAGATCCTTATTCTCCCTCCGTCACTCCCTGCCTGCACAATAACAGTTCCTTATTCTCCCTCCGTCACTTCCCGCCTGTACAATAACAGATATAGATCCTTATTCTCCCTCCGTCACTCCCCGCCTGCACAATAACAGTTCCTTATTCTCCCTCCGTCACTCCCTGCCTGTACAATAACAGGTCCTTATTCTCCCTCCGTTACAGATTTGAGACTGCCCCAATAATAGTTGTATTTGGTAATAAGATACAGATTGAAACTGTCCTTCAACATTTTACGAAAATATTTTGTAATATACGAAACCTGACATCATCCTTGTCAACATGTACATATGAATTTTCATAAGGATTTATTAATTTATTTGTCTTTCGTGTGGTTTTGTGTACGTGGTGTTGTTTTTACCACACCGTGTCGTGCTACCTTAAGTGTATATATTTATATAGGTTTAAAGTTTTATGCTTGTTACAGCTCCCGACAACCTATACGGCTACTGTTGGAATCAGCTCACAGAACAACGAACGTCGTTTAAGTGTTTTGTTGACGTCGACGGAAAACGCTGTGATTGGGAATGGTTCTTTGCGGAAGTAGCTGAAAACGCCTGCTTGTCAACCGACGAACGTGTTTTGTTTGAATCGCGCATCAACCGGAACTGGTTCAATCTCTCGGCGGGAGTGCGTGAATGTCCATTTTGTCGCTGCGTGTGTGAACGCCAAAGACCCGACGACCCATGTGTGTTGTGTATATACTGCAGGGACGCTGGAAAGCCTCACTTTGAGTTTTGTTGGTACTGTCTTTATCCGTGGAAAGATAACCATAGCTGCACTAAGGACTCTGCAAGACAGATACTCAGCACGTGCCCACGTAAGGAAATAGTGAAAGTGCCCGGATGTCCATCAATAAGGGCGTGTCCAAATTGTAAAATTTTGATTGAACATAAGGAGCAATGCAAACACATGGACTGTCGAAACTGCAAGGCTTCCTTCTGTTTCATATGTTTAGGGGTCAGAGGGGAACGTGGGTTTACGTGTGGGTCTTACAACTCGAAATGTGCCGTGGCACCAATACAAACTGTGACGTAACTGTTTCACCTGTTTAGGGGTCAAAGGTCAGCATGAGCAAACAAACTATAATCAGCATTGACGAAATCTTGTACATTATATAACCGTTGTTGAGTTATTTATCAATAACAGGTTAGAATTTTATCTCAACCAATGTATTCATAACGTATTGTTAGTTTTGACATCAGTCTCTAATAAAGACATGATTTGAAATTTAGTTTTGACATCAGTCTATGATAAAGACATGATTTGAAATTTAGTTTTGACATCAGTCTGTGATAAAGAGGATTTGAAATTTAGTTTTGACCGCAGTCTGTGATAAAGAAATGATTTATAATTTATTTTTCACATCAGTCTGTGATAAAGACATGATTTATAATTTAGTTTTGACCTTAGTGTCTGATATAAACACACAAGCTGTTGCAGTCAGGCAATTTTCGGTAGTGATATCATCAGCTTTAATGACGTAGTTTGGAACTCCTGCCTTATGCATCATCAGAGATCGAGTTATACTCTTTTTACTCCTAACACTTGCCTGCACTCTTTTTACTCCTAACACTTGCCCGCACTCTTTTTACTCCTAACACTTGCCCGCACTCTTTTTACTCCTAACATTTGCCCGCACTCTTTTTACTCCTAACACTTGCCCGCACTCTTTTTACTCCTAACACTTGCCCGCACTCTTTTTACTCCTAACACTTGCCTTCAAAATCCACTTATTCGATGGCTGCTTTGTTACCACAAAGTTACATTAACAGGAAGAGTGCAAGAGAGAGTTGGGTTAGAGTTGTTAAAATATATTTAGTCCTGAAAGGGTAGACTTTCAGACGTTGTTTTATGTGGTTTAAAACAGAGAGATATTTACAAATCAAACATCTGACTTACATATGTTTCAGAGCAAATGTTGTTTACTAAGTATTTCCGCTCATTTTTTCAACAACTTTACTTTTTATCAAATTTCCAATGGCCATATACAGATGATTTCTAGAATTATAAACCAATCATTTCCACTAATCTCGCGAGATTTTATAATTGGTTGGTACACGACAGGCCGGTGACTATGGCTACGACCTTTTGTACTAATTGTTTTACTATGAATTATTTTGCTTTTTCTATTTCACTTGTGTGTGCGTTTTTGGGTTTTTTTGTTGTTTTTTTGTTTTTTGTTGTTGTTGTTGTTGTTTTTTCCCTGCGGAAACGGATATCCAAATGTAAAATAGATCGTAACAATTATTAACAAATTGCTAATAAAAAAACTGCTAATCTGTCAAACTTCAAAACTAAATTGTTTTTCAGTAAACTGATGACTGCTGTCTAGCGGATGTAAATATGCAGAGTGAAACAAACAAAGGGCGGTAACTCGTGTTTGCTAACTTAATCCTCTTTCCAAGTCGGTTGAAATCCACCTATCTCACCGTAAAGGGAGTGAAGGAGTCTGTTGACCTCACACCGGTAAAAAGTGTGGATTTCTTCGTTCAGAGTCAGATTAGAAATTTTCTCCAATTTTGTAGGTTTCCTTTGGTCCCTACATGTGTCTTGATTTCTACACTGATCAGACAAAATATGTGGCTGACGGGTGACCATGAAAATGTATTATTTATTTTTAGAGAAACACCGCATGGATTTTTCTCAAATTCAAAATGTAAGTTTCTTTCTTATTCTCTTGCTGTACCGATGTGAAGTTGGGACTGATCAGAAAAGTACAATGTCCGACAGGCAGACATCTTGCTAATTAAAAATCGTTATTAGTATTTTATGGGGATTTTTCCAATTTCATTTAATTAAGAGCAAGTACAGAGGAAAGATTCGAAATTGTCGGAAAAGATCCGACTTTTATACAACAAGGGAAAAACAATGGTGGTTGCCATGATCCCTCGGGATTGTTTGTCAGATTTTTTTTTATAAAAGTCCACCTCGGTCTTTTTGTAAGGTGTGAATTTGTCAATGAACTGTTCGTCGTTCGTACAATGAATGATGTATATGCTAGCCTGAATTGTGTATATGTACTACAGCCACTATGAGTGATACTTGTGTCGCGTGAGAGGAGAGTGAGTGCATGATTTAATGTTATGTCTGTAGATGTACGAAATAAGGAACCATTAATGTCCCCGCACGCTTCTATATTGTCATGTTTGGCGGTAAGGATTTCAAACGGAAGTAAATGAGATCAGGCTCCGCTTGTTCAAAGGCTGTTTAAAAATAACCAGTGGTTCGTGAAAATGTTTCAAACATGAATTAAACCAGGTACTACAACATGGCGGTCAACCTGACCTGACGTGTCACCGATCGGCAGTGAGCTAATACAGATATTACACCATATCCAGATAAGTATTGATGCTGAATATTGTACTACATCTATATAACGTCACGCTCTGTTGGTGTCTCGGTGAACTTTGTGGTACACTTGTTCTATTTTGCGATATTTGGAGCATAATGTAACCGAACTCATTATCGCTATATTATATATATATAAGGAGTGACGTTTTTCACCTGTCCACAGGTGAGTCCAGGTGTTCACGTAACTTTTCCCATTGTTAACCCTATCCTCGGTATGCCAACTAGTCTGGTTAAACGCAAGGTGCAAGCCTCGAGTCCTGTTGACTCCGCTGCTAAGACTATGAAGCATGGTACCGTTGGTTCGCTTCCTGATCTTTCCCAGTCTGATCTGTACGCCACTCCTCAGAGAGATACGGCTACTGGACTTTCACTTCAACTATCTAAGGGTAGAACTGTGAACTTGGACCAAATCATTACCTCGAAACTAAATGACAATAAATTTATGATTCAACTGTGTGTTCTGGTTACTGAAGCAATTACCCCAAGCCTTGACTCTGTAATCCAAAACGTCGTAACGCAGGCTGTAAGTCCCCTGATAGACCGGATTGAGTTCCTTGAGGAAGAAAATAAAAAACTTACTGAAGTAAACGCCCTTCTCTTTAGTCAAGTTACGGAAAATCAGTTTGGTCTAGAAGAGCTTGAACAATATGGGAGGCGCAATTCCCTCCGTTTTCACAATGTTCCTCTCAAACCTGTCGAGATTCCGGAAACTGATGCTGTGATCGTCAAAGTGGTGCGTGAGAAACTGGGTGTTCAGATAATAGAAAATGACATTGACAGATCCCATATTATCTGTAAAATTAACAATGGCAAAGCCCAGCTCATCTGTCGTTTGAGAAACTGGAAAATTAAAAACAAAACATATCGAAATCGAAATTAGCGCGAAACCCTGACAAAACATTCGTTACGGAAGACCTCACGAAGTATCGGCAAGGTCTAGTATCCCATTTACTACAGCTGAAAAGGGACAAGTACATTAATTCTTTCTGGACGTCGGACGGTCGTATCTTCACCAAAGAAACCGAGACGAGCCGCAAAATTCTTATAACATCCCATGAGGAGATCGACGGGCTGGATCCGACGTGCTGAACAAAAACTTTGGTTCAAACTATTCTTAGTATGAAGCTTTGTCTATAAGGAAATGATTATCGGCTTAAACCCTGATAACTTCCGGTCAACTTAAATGTTTTCTTTTCTATCCATCCGGCCTCCCCCATTACAAAAACCATTCCTCCATCAAAGTACACTGTAAAATCCTGCTTAAATTTGTCTACTTTTACACTCGAATATCTATTGATAGCCGATGGTCATTTTCGATCGTTCCTTATCTGTATTCCATGATAAGTAACTTGCATGACGTAATAATTGTACGAATTATTATGTCCTAACTCTTTGTGCGTCACATCCGTTGCGGGGTCGGTGCTTTTCCGTGTGGTGTCGATGCTTTCCGTCAGCAGCTCCGGCGATGACACATTGCCACATTCTCTTAGTGACATAGGTGTCCTAATGTTACGTAATAATCGTGACGATGTCGTCGTTTGGATGATGCGGGAAGTGCCGGCGTTTGCGCGGGTTGGCGATTTCGTCGCGGATGGGATGCTTTCAGTGTGTCGTTTAATATGCATACAGAAACAAGCAGGTCTTAGCCAACAATTGTTCTGTATAAATGTATACTTTGTATAATTTATCTATATCAAATATTTTTCCCATGCAGTTATTGCCACGTACTATATAGTATATTACTGTAAATGTATTGTACAGGTGTGTCCATGCATACTTGACAATTTGAATTGGTCGATCAACCAAATGTTTTCATATTCACTCATTCATAATAGATCAAATGGACAGTTTGTCCTGTTTAAATGCTATATTGTGGATTACCTGTACAGTAATATTAATCAGCTAATATGTCTTTTCTTTTTCTGTAATTCAGATTGACTTTATATTTTTGTTCCAATGGCTTTTTATTCTACTTAATCCCTAGTGCTACACTACGCTTTCAATGTGTCATTTTAGAACCCCTCATAGAGAGACATTCACTCTAGCAGTTGATCATGCTGCATGAAGCTAATACTTTTGCGAAAATTTAAAGCCGTATTGAGTCTTGACGATTATTGACTCGTACTTACTCTACTCTGTCAAAGAGGCATGGTTGGCTGCGGGAGTTATGTCCCTTGTATGAGCTAGTCGGTTGTGGTATGGAGGCGTCCTACCCTTGGACACAGAACCGCATATGGTTCTGTCCCCACGGGTTAGGTCTCACTGAGTTAACTAAAACATATTGTTCTTACTTGACTCTAACCATTTAACATATACATGCATATTCAGTAATTTCATTCTTTTTCGTTATACGTTTCACATAGTTCCTGAGTGTACATGTACACGAGCGTGATAGGTGTTTATATTTTTGCTGCATTTTGTTTTTCTCATAATAGCTTATCTTTTTGCCGTTTGCTTTCAATAACTTTACTGGTGAAAATCATTTTTTCCTGTACCGCCATTGTATATTGTATTGTCTCTATTGCTAGATCTTTCTATCTATCTATCTCTTTTCTTTCTTTCTTTTCTGTCTTATATACTTGTCAGAATGATTAGTCTTGAACAATATCGATACTCGATTGGCACTTGGAGCTTTCATATCCGGAATAACAAGTTAAGTAAACAATATGCTTGTAATGCACGTC